GCGTGTCTGTGTGTGTCAACAACGTAATCTTGTCAGATTGAATTTACTGAATAATCTGAATAATCTTAATGACGTATGTAATTCCTCAATGAATGTTTAATTAGAGTGGCTTGTGGACGACTAATGAGGTCGTAAGTTATGCTGGAATTTTATTATCGGCTAATATACATGAGATATGCTGGCTGCTGATATCGTTGGCTAGGGGTATTGTAAGTTGGGGGTTACGTTAGCTGGGGGTATTGTAAGTTGGGTGTTACGTTAGCTGGGGGTATTGTAAGTTGGGGGTTACATTATCTGGGCGTAAAGTTAGCTGAGGGTATCGTAAGCTGGGGTAACGTTAGCTGGGGTAACGTTAGCTGGGGTAACGTTAGCTGGGGGTATCGTAAACTGGAGAAATATTTGCTGGGGGTATTGTAAGCTAAGTTATTAGTGGGTCAGACTCTCTGTCTGTCTGTCTGTCTGTCTGTCTGTCTCTCTCTCTCTCTCTCTCTCTCTCTCTCTCTCTCTCTCTCTCTCTCTCTCTCTCTCTCTCTCTCTCTCTCTCTCTCACGAAATGATGGAATACGTAACAACATAATGCAAGGAGGCAGAGGAAAGGTTTGTTCCCAAGGGCAACAGAAATAATGGGAAGACCAGAACGAGTCATTGGTTTACCCGACGGTGTAGGGAGGCAAAAACCAAGTGCAATAGAGAATGGAAAAAGTACAGAAGGGAGAACACGGGGAAAATTGGAGATTAGTCGAAGAGCCGGAACAAATATGTAAGATAAGGGGGAGGCCCAGAGACGTATAAAAACAACTAGCATCGAAAAGTAAAGTCTGACCCAAAAACTGCTGTACAGCCACATTAGGGGAAGAAAACAGTAAAAAGACCAGGTGATCAGGGAGGTAAAAAGGTGGGGAACTCACAAGAAATGATCCAAGGGATGTGAGGGTCAAAAATGAGATTTAAGGAGTTATTTACGTAGGACAGGAATGGCTCTGAGAAGACAGCCGAGAATAAAACGGGGGTAACCAAAAGGGGCTGGATGCCATACAAAAACGGGGGAGGAGGTGCAGAAACTGTAAGTGACCCCCCATACCTCAAGGGGGAGGGGTCCCGGCAACATCTCCCGTGGGCCTTAGGAAGGAAGGATGCTGTGCGTGCCCTAACCCAAATCTTCAATTATCCCCTTTAAAAAATGGGAATACCTGAAAATGGAAGACAGCAAATGTAGTCCCCATTTGTAAGAAAGGAGACAGAAACGAGGCACTAAACTACAGACCAGTGTCTCTGATGTGTATAGTATACAAAGTCATGGAGAAGATTATCAGGAGGAGAGTGGTGGAGCACCTGGAACGACACATGATTATAAACAACAACCAGCACGGATTCATAGAAGGCAAATCCTGTGTCACAAACCTTCTGGAGTTTTATGACAAGGTAACAGAAGTAAGACACGAGAGAGAGGGGTGGGTTGATTGCATTTTTCTGGACTGCAGGAAGGCTTTTGACACAGTTCCTCACAAGAGATTAGTGCAGAAGCTGGAGGATCAGGCTCGTATAACAGGAAGGGCACTGCAATGGATCAGAGAATACCTGACAGGGAGGCAACAACGAGTCATGGTACGTGATGAGGTATCACAGTGGGTGCCTGTAACGAGCGGGGTCCCACAGGGGTCAGTTCTAGGACCAGTGCTATTTTTGATATATGCGAATGACATGATGGAAGGAAGAGACTCTGAAGTGTCCCTATTCGCAGATGATGTGAAGCTGATGAGAAGAATTAAATCGGATGAGGATGAGGCAGGACTGCAAAGAGACCTGGACAGGCTGGACATGTGGTCCAGAAATTGGCTTCTCGAATTCAACCCTGCCAAATGGAAAGTCATGAAGATTGGGGAGGGGCAAAGAAGACCACAGACAGAGTATAGACTAGGTGGACAAAGACTACAGACCTCACTCAGGGAGAAAGACCTTGGGGTGACCATAACACCGAGCACGTCACCGGAGGCACACATTAACCAAATAACTGCTGCAGCATACGGACGCCTGGCAAACCTGAGAATAGCCTTCCGATACCTTAATAAGGAATCGTTCAAGACACTGTACACTGTGTATGTTAGGCCCATACTGGAGTATGCAGCACCAGTCTGGAACCCACACCTGGTCAAGCACGTCAAGAAGTTAGAGAAAGTACAAAGGTTTGCAACAAGGCTAGTCCCAGAGCTCAGGGGAATGTCGTACGAGGAAAGGTTAAGGGAAATTGGACTGACGACACTGGAGGACAGAAGGGTCAGGGGAGACATGATAACGACATACAAGATACTGCGGGGAATAGACAAGGTTGACAGAGATAAGATGTTCCAGAGAGGGGACACAGAAACAAGGGGTCACAACTGGAAGCTGAAGACTCAGACGAGTCACAGAGACGTTAGGAAGTATTTCTTCAGTCATAGAGTTGTCAGCAAGTGGAATAGCCTAGCAAGTGAAGTAGTGGAGGCAGGAACCATACATAGTTTTAAGAAGAGGTATGACAAAGCTCGGGAAGCAGAGAGGGAGAGGACCTAGTAGCGATCAGTGAAGAGGTGGGGCCAGGAGCTGAGTATCGACCCCTGCAACCACAATTAGGTGAGTACACACAGTTTACGTCAGTTAAAGTGTACATTTAGTCTCATATAAATTATCTCTGAAATTAATTAACCAAAACAATAGTAAGGAACTCCGGTTATTATCAGTCGTCTGATAACTGGAGCAGAGGGAAGTTATAGAACAAGAAGAGGAGGAGGAGTAGGAGGAGGAGGAGGAAGAGTAGGAGGAGGAGGAGGAAGAAGAATAGGAGGAGGCAAGAGTAGTGTTTGTCAGGAAAGAGAAAAAGTCAATATATGGTGTCTTAGTGAAAATAATAAATATTTGATAAAGACACAGGTGTAACACCCGAGTATCTTTATTCTGAGGACGTTTCGCCCACCAGTGTCTTTATCGGTTCAATGAAGAGATACGGGAGATAGTGGAAGATGAGGTAATCAGTCCCCCAGGTGCTGGACATGTATCAACAATAATTCATCAACGTAACAATACCCAGACAAGTGCTGTACCTGTATATAATTCATCAATTCTGTCAGTATTGTGTATCACTAATGTGATAATAAAGTATCTGTATAACCGGGACTTTCTATACAGTGTGTCACTGATCCTCATATCCGACATAGACAAGGATGTCAGCCACAGCACCGTGTCTTCCTTTGCAGATGACACCCGAATCTGCATGACAGTGTCTTCCATTGCAGACACTGCAAGGCTCCAGGCGGACATCAACCAAATCTTTCAGTGGGCTGCAGAAAACAATATGAAGTTCAACGATGAGAAATTTCAATTACTCAGATATGGTAAACATGAGGAAATTAAATCTTCATCAGAGTACAAAACAAATTCTGGCCACGAAATAGAGCGAAACACCAACGTCAAAGACCTGGGAGTGATTATGTCGGAGGATCTCACCTTCAAGGACCATAACATTGTATCAATCGCATCTGCTAGAAAAATGACAGGATAGATAATGAGACCTTCAAAACTAGGGAGGCCAAGCCCATGATGACACTCTTCAGGTCACTTGTTCTATCTAGGCTGGAATATTGCTGCACTCTAACAGCACCTTTCAAGGCAGGTGAAATTGCTGACCTAGAAAATGTACAGAGAACCTTCACGCGCGCATAACGGAGATAAAACACCTCAATTACTGGGAGCGCTTGAGGTTCCTGAACCTGTACTCCCTGGAACGCAGGAGGGAGAGATACATGATTATATACACTGGAAATCCTAGAGGACTAGTACCGAACTTGCACACGAAAATCACTCACTACGAAAGCAAAAGACTTGGCAGACGATGCAACATCCCCCCAATGAAAAGCAGGGGTGTCACTAGCACGTTAAGAGACCATACAATAAGTGTCAGGGGCCCGAGACTGTTCAACTGCCTCCCAGCATACATAAGGGGGATTACCAACAGACCCCTGGCAGTCTTCAAGCTGGCACTGGACAAGCACCTAAAGTCAGTTCCTGATCAGCCGGGCTGTGGCTCGTACGTTGGTTTGCGTGCAGCCAGCAGCAACAGCCTGGTTGATCAGGCGCTGATCCACCAGGAGGCCTGGTCACAGACCGGGCCGCGGGGGCGTTGAACCCCGGAACTCTCTCCAGGTAAACTCCAGGTATGGTCTGTATAAGTTATATCTTTTATTATTATTATTGTATTATTATTATTATTATTATTATTATTATTATTATTATTATTATTATTAGTAGTAGTAGTAGTAGTAGTAGTAATGGTAGTAGTAGTCTAGTAGTAGTAGTAGTAGTAGTAGTGGTAGTAGTAGTAGTAGTGTAGTCGTAGTAGTAGTAGTAGTAGTATGTAGTAGTAGTAGTAGTAGTATGTATAGTAGTCGTAGTAGTAGTAGTAGTAGTGTAGTAGTAGTATAGTAGTAGTAGTAGTAGTAAGTAGTAGTGGTAGTAGTAGTAGTAGTAGTAGTAGTAGTAGTAGTAGTAGTAGTGGTAGTAGTAGTAGTAGTAGTAGTAGTAGTGGTAGTAGTAGTAGTAGTAGTAGATAGTCGTAGTAGTAGTAGTGTAGTAGTAGTAGTAGTAGTAGTGGTAGTAGTAGTAGTGGTAGTAGTAGTAGTAGTAGTAGTAGTAGTAGTAGTAGTAGTAGTAGTGGTAGTAGTAGTAGTAGTAGTAGTAGTAGTAGTAGTAGTAGTAGTAGTAGTAGTAGTAGTAGTAGTTATAGTAGTAGTAGTAGTAGTAATGGTAGTAGTAGTCGTAGTAGTAGTAGTAGTAGTAGTAGTAGTAGTAGTAGTAGTGGTAGTGGTAGTAGTAGTAATGGTAGTAGTAGTCGTAGTAGTAGTAGTGGTAGTAGTAGTAGTAGTAGTAGTGGTAGTAGTAGTAATGGTAGTAGTAGTCGTAGTAGTGTAGTAGTAGTAGTAGTAGTAGTAGTAGTAGTAGTAGTGTAGAATGTTTGGGACAGCACTCACCAACCAGAAAGAGTGCCTCAACCACAACGTCAGGAACAATGGTTGGTTTGTCCTGTTGGTTGGTGTTGACCAGGAAGGCAGCGTTGTAGGGCACAGTGACGGCCACGTAGAAGGTAGCCAGTAGGATGACCAGGTCCCAGCAGGTCTTTAGCATCCCATAGTGCGTTAAGATGAATCTTGACTTCTGGATGCTGGCGGTCTTGTATTCTGGAAGAGGCGCTGCCGAGTGAGGCTGGAGAGGATTCTGAAGAAGGTATTAAAAATCTGGGGTTAAAAATTTCCTGGAATGGAGATTTCAGGCTTGACCCTAGGCAAGGGAGTGTAGCTCTAGCTCCTGGGACCAAGGTCTCTGTAAAAGCACCAAAGACCCGAGAGAGGAGGGGCCATCAGTAACGTGAACAGGGTGGTATATCAGCTTTAAGATCACAAAGGGAGCACTCTCTACGTCCCCTTACCATTTAAAAGGGGGAAGGAGCTTTTGTACTACTATATGGACCTTGATTCAAGGAGTTGGAGCCATCCATCCTCTTCCTCAGATCAAACTTCATTCGCTCCCACTCTTAGAGCAGGGATTGTGTTTATAAGCCAGAGTGGCTTACTGCCTTTGTGGTCAGTAGATCCTCTTCCCCAGGATGCCACCCACAACACTCAACTAACACCCAGGCACCTATTTACTGCTAGGTGAACAGTGGCAGCAGGTGTAAGGTGACTTGCCCATACGTCTCACCCTGCCCAGGATGCCACCCGCAACACTCAACTAACACCCAGGTACCTATTTACTGCTAGGTGAACAGTGACAGCAGGTGTAAGGTGACTTGCCCATACGTCTCACCCTGCTCAGGATGCTACCCACAACACTCAACTAACACCCAGGTACCTATTTACTGCTAGGTGAACAGTGGCAGCAGGTGTAAGGTGACTTGCCCATACGTCTCACCTTGCCCAGATGCCACCCACAACACTCAACTAAACACCCAGGTACCTATTTACTGCTAGGTGAACAGTGACAGCAGGTGTAAGGTGACTTGCCCATAACGTCTCAACCTTGCCCAGGATGCCACCCACAACACTCAACTAACACCCAGGTACCTATTTACTGCTAGGTGAACAGTGACAGCAGGTGTAAGGTGACTTGCCCATACGTCTCACCTTGCCCAGGATGCCACCCACAACACTCAACTAACACCCAGGTACCTATTTACTGCTAGGTGAACAGTGACAGCAGGTGTAAGGTGACTTGCCCATACTTCTCACCTTGCCCAGGATGCCACCCACAACACTCAACTAACACCCAGGTACCTATTTACTGCTAGGTGAACAGTGGCAGCAGGTGTAAGGTGACTTGCCCATACGTCTCACCTTGCCCAGGATGCCACCCACAACACTCAACTAACACCCAGGTACCTATTTACTGCTAGGTGAACAGTGACAGCAGGTGTAAGGTGACTTGCCCATACGTCTCACCCTGCCCAGGATGCCACCCACAACACTCAACTAACACCCAGGTACCTATTTACTGCTAGGTGAACAGTGAGAGCAGGTGTAAGGTGACTTGCCCATACGTCTCACCCTGCCCAGGATGCCACCCACAACACTCAACTACAACCCAGGTACCTATTTACTGCTAGGTGAACAGTGAGAGCAGGTGTAAGGTGACTTGCCCATACGTCTCACCCTGCCCAGGATGCCACCCACAACACTCAACTAACACCCAGGTACCTATTTACTGCTAGGTGAACAGTGGCAGCAGGTGTAAGGTGACTTGCCCATACGTCTCACCCTGCCCAGGATGCCACCCACAACACTCAACTAACACCCAGGTACCTATTTACTGCTAGGTGAACAGTGGCAGCAGGTGTAAGGTGACTTGCCCATACGTCTCACCCTGCCCAGGATGCCACCCACAACACTCAACTAGTATACCACTCTCGGTACATATACACTGATCTATATATTCACATATATACACCTCACGGAGTATATACACTGATATATATATACCTCTCAGTGTACTGTATATACACTTGATACTATCCGATTCCAATTTCCTTAATGGTCGCCGCATTTAGAGTCCAGGTCATTAAGATTAACTAGGTCATTATAACCGTTATTAAGGAAACCAAAACGTGCTCTAAGACAGACATTGGTTCCAAAACCAGCTTTAATTAGGACGACGTTTCGCCCTATGAATTTGTAAAGCCATGTTACAGTCAGTGTAGAGCTTTACCAAGCCATGTTACACTCAGTGTAGAGCTTTATCAAGCCATGTTACACTCGGTATAAAGCTTTACCAAGCCATGTTACACTCAGTGTAGAGCTTTACCAAGCCATGTTACACTCAGTGTAGAGCTTTACCAAGCCATGTTACACTCAGTGTAGAGCTTTACCAAGCCATGTTACACTCGGTGTAGAGCTTTACCAAGCCATGTTACACTCAGTGTAGAGCTTTACCAAGCCATGTTACACTCAGTGTAGAGCTTTACCAAGCTATGTTACACTCAGTGTAGAGCTTTACCAAGCCATGCTACACTCAGTGTAGAGCTTTACCAAGCCATGTTACACTCAGTGTAGAGCTTTACCAAGCATGGTACACTCAGTGTAGAGCTTTACCAAGTCATGTTACACTCAGTGTAGAGCTTTACCAAGCCATGCTACACTCAGTGTAGAGCTTTACCAAGCCATGTTACACTCAGTGTAGAGCTTTACCAAGCCATGTTACACTCAGTGTAGAGCTTTACCAAGCCATGTTACACTCAGTGTAGAGCTTTACCAAGCATGTTACACTCAGTGTAGAGCTTTACCAAGCCATGTTACACTCAGTGTAGAGCTTTATCAAGTCATGTTACACTCAATGTAGAGCTTTACCAAGTCATGTTACACTCAGTGTAGAGCTTTATCAATCTATGTTACACTCAGTGTAGAGCTTTACCAAGCCATGTTACACTCAGTGTAGAGCTTCACCAAGTCATGTTACACTCAGTGTAGAGCTTTACCAAGCCATGTTACAGTCAGTGTAGAGCTTTACCAAGCCATGTTACAGTCAGTGTAGAGCTTTACCAAGTCATGTTACAGTCAGTGTAGAGCTTTACCAAGCCACGTTACAGTCAGTGTAGAGCTTTACCAAGCCATGTTACAGTCAGTGTAGAGCTTTACCAAGCCATGTTACAGTCAGTGTAGAGCTTTACCAAGCCATGTTACACTCAGTGTAGAGCTTTACCAAGCCATGTTACACTCAGTGTAGAGCTTTACCAAGTCATGTTGCACTCAGTGTAGAGCTTTACCAAGCCATGTTACACTCATTGTAGAGCTTTACCAAGCCATGTTACACTCAGTGTAGAGCTTTACCAAGCCATGTTACACTCGGTATAGAGCTTTACCAAGCCATGTTACACTCAGTGTAGAGCTTTACCAAGCCATGTTACACTCGGTATAGAGCTTTACCAAGCCATGTTACACTCAGTGTAGAGCTTTACCAAGCCATGTTACACTCGGTATAGAGCTTTACCAAGCCATGTTACACTCAGTGTAGAGCTTTATCAAGTCATGTTACACTCAGTGTAGAGCTTTACCAAGCCATGTTACACTCATTGTAGAGCTTTACCAAGCCATGTTACACTCAGTGTAGAGCTTTACCAAGCCATGTTACACTCGGTATAGAGCTTTACCAAGCCATGTTACACTCAGTGTAGAGCTTTACCAAGCCATGTTACACTCGGTATAGAGCTTTACCAAGCCATGTTACACTCAGTGTAGAGCTTTACCAGCCATGTACACTCGGTATAGAGCTTTACCAAGCCATGTTACACTCAGTGTAGAGCTTTACCAAGCCATGTTACACTCGGTATAGAGCTTTACCAAGCCATGTTACACTCGGTATAGAGCTTTACCAAGCCATGTTACACTCAGTGTAGAGCTTTACCAAGCCATGTTACACTCAGTGTAGAGCTTTACCAAGCCATGTTACACTCAGTGTAGAGCTTTACCAAGCCATGTTACACTCAGTGTAGAGCTTTACCAAGCCATGTTACACTCAGTGTAGAGCTTTACCAAGCCATGTTACACTCGGTATAGAGCTTTACCAAGCCATGTTACACTCAGTGTAGAGCTTTACCAAGCCATGTTACACTCGGTATAGAGCTTTACCAAGCCATGTTACACTCGGTATAGAGCTTTACCAAGCCAGGTTACACTCAGTGTAGAGCTTTACCAAGCCATGTTACACTCAGTGCAGAGCTTTACCAAGTCATGTTACACTCAGTGTAGAGCTTTACCAAGCCATGTTACACTCAGTGTAGAGCTTTACCAAGCCATGTTACACTCAGTGTAGAGCAGAGGTTCCAAACTGGGAGAGGGAGCTTTAAGCAATATTTCTGAACGAGAGAGAGAGAGAAGAGAGGAGAGAGAGAGAGAGAGGAGAGAGAGAGAGAGAGAGAGAGAGAGAGAGAGAGAGAGAGAGAGAGAGAGAGAGAGAGAGAGAGAGAGAGAGAGAGAGAGAGAGAGAGAGAGAGAGAATTCTGCCTCACGAATACCGTACATAGGATTGAGCCTTCAGTAGTCTATACTCTGAAAAAAATCACCAATTCTGAAATGGTTTCGAACACAGGTTTCCTTGGCGGTCTCTAACCCAGCCAGAGGCTGTATTAAAGCTGTGAATTATTAAGCTGAAACTTGACTTACATTATTGAGCTTAAGCTTGTTCTTGCCCTTGTCCTGGGTGTAGTGTCCGGAGAGCTGGTAGAGGACAGCACGGCTACGTCTTCGGCCATATTTGTTCGGTTGGGCTTCTGGATCCAAGTTCTCATTCTCGTCTGAAAGTGAAGATTATTGAGAGAGAGAGAGAGAGGAAAAGAGAGGGGAGAGAGAGGGGGGAGAGAGAGAGAGAGAGGAGAGAGAGAGAGAGGAGAGTGAGAGAGAGAGAGAGAGATGAGAGGGGGAGAGAAGAGAGAGAGAGGAGAGGAGAGAGAGAGAGAGAGAGAGAGAGGAGAGAGAGAAGGGGAGAGAGAGAGAGAGAGAGGGGGGAGAGAGGAGAGAGGGAGAGGAGAGAGAGAGAGAGAGAGAGAGAGAGAGAGAGAGAAATCTCTGCCATTTCTTGGCTGGTTTTATATATATATATATATATATTATATATATAAATTTATATATAATATTTAATATTTTATATATATATATATATATATATTTGTTTTTTTCAACAAGTCGGTCGTCTCCCACCGAGGCAGGGTGACCCACCGAGGCAGGGTGACCCACCGAGGCAGGGTGACCCCCCGGGGCAGGGTGACCCAAAAAAAAAGAAAACCCCCAAAAAGAAAATACTTTCATCTCTTTCAACACTTTCACCACACTCACACATTTCACTGTTTTTGCAGAGGTGCTCAGAATAAAAACAGTAGGAAGCATATACGTATAAAGATACACAACATATCCTCCAAACTGCCAATATCCAAACCCCCCTTTTAAAAGTGCAGGCTTTTGTATTTCCCCCATTGTACTTCCATTTCCAGGACTCAAGTCGACTATTGAAAAAAACCCGGGTTTTTTCCCTGAATCCCTTCACTAAATATTACCCTGCTCACACTCCAACAGATCGTCAGGTCCCAAGTACCATTCGTCTCCATTCACTCCTATCTAACCGCTCATGCACGCTTGTGGAAGTCCAAGCCCTCGCCCCCAAAACCTCCTTTACCCCTCTTTCCAACCCTTTCGAGGACGACCCCTACCCCTCTTTTTCCCTTCCCCATAGATTTTTATGCTTTCCATGTCATTCTACTTTGATCAAATTCTCTCTAAATGACCAACCACCTCAACAACCCCTCTTCTGTCCCCTGACTAATGCTTTTATTAACTCCACACCTTCTCCCAATTTCCACACTCCGAATTTTCTGCATAATATTTACACCACACATTGCCCTTAGACAGGACATCTCCACTGCCTCCAACCGTCTCCTCGCTGCTGCATTTACCCCCCAAGCTTCACATCCATATTAGAGTGGGTTTGGGACTACTATACTTTCATACATTCCCTTCTTTGCCTCCATAGATAACGTTTTTTGACTCCACATATACCTCAACGCACCATCGCCTTTTTTCCCTCATCAATTCTATGATTAACCTCATCCTTCATAAATCCATCCGCCGACACGTCAACTCCCCAAGTATCTGAAAGCATTCACTTCTTCCATACTCCTCCTCCCCAATTTGATATCCAATTTTTCTTTATCTAAATCATTTGATACCCTCATCACCTTACTCTTTTCTATGTTCACTTTCAACTTTCTACCTTTACACACATTCTCAAACTCATCCACTAACCTTTGCAATTTTTCTTTAGAATCTCCCATAAGCACAGTATCATCAGCAAAAAGTAACTGTGTCAATTCCCATTCTGAATTTGATTCCCCATAATTTAATCCCACCCCTCTCCCGAACACCCTAGCATTTACTTCTTTACAACCCCATCTAAAATATATTAAACAACCATGGTGACATTACACATCACTGTCTAAGACCTACTTTTACCGGGAAGTAGTCTCCCTCTCTTCTACACACCCTAACCTGAGCCTCACTATCCTCATAAAAGCTCTTTACAGCATTTAGTAACTTACCACTATTCCATATACTTGCAACATCTGCCACATTGCTCCTCTATCCACTCTATCATATGCCTTTTCTAAATCCATAATGTAATAAAAAACTTCCCTACCTTTTCTAAATACTGTTCACATATATGCTTCAATGTAAACACTTGATCTACACATCCCCTACCCACTCTGAAGCCTCCCTGCTCATCCGCAATTCTACATTCTGTCTTACCTCTAATTCTTTCAATTATAACCCTACCGTATACTTTTCCTGGTATACTCAGTAAACTTATTCCTCTATAATTTTTACAATCTCTTTTGTCCCCTTTCCCTTTATATAAAGGGACTATACATGCTCTCCGCCAATCCCTTGGTACCTTCCCCTCTTTCATACATTTATTAAACAAAAGTACCAACCACTCCAACACTATATCCCCCCCTGCTTTTAACATTTCTGTCATGATCCCATCAGTTCCAGCTGCTTTACCCCTTTCATTCTACGTAATGCCTCACGTACCTCCACCACACTTACATTCTGCTCTTCTTCACTCCTAGAAGATGGTATACCTCCCTGGCCAGTGCAGGAAATTATCGCCTCTCTTTCTTCCTCAACATTTAAAAGTTCCTCAAAATATTCTCGCCATCTACCTAATACCTCCCTCTCCCCATCTACTAACTCCCCTACTCTGTTTTTAATGGACAAATCCATACTTTCCCTAGGCTTTCTTAACTTGTTTAACTCACTCCAAAATTTTTCTTATTTTCATTAAATTTCTTGACAGTGCCTCTCCCACTCTTTCATCTGCTCTCCTTTTGCACTCTCTCGCCATTCTCTTCACCTTTCTTTTACTCTCCATATACTCTGCTCTTCTTATAACACTTCTGCTTTGTAAAAACCTCTCGTAAGCTACCTTTTTCTCTTTTATCACACCTTTACTTCATCATTCACCAATCACTCCTCTTTCCTCCTGCCCCCACCCTCCTATAACCACAAACTTCTGCCCCACATTCTAATACTGCATTTTTAAAACTATTCCAACCCTCTTCAACCCCCCCACTACTCATCTTTGCACTAGCCCACCTTTCTGCCAATAGTCGCTTATATCTCGCCCGAACTTCCTCCTCCCTTAGTTTATACACTTCACCTCCCTCTTACTTGTTGATGTTACTTCCTTGTTTACGAAAGTTCCTGTTGATGATTTATTAAGTTTCTTATCTGAAGAATTCGTTAACTATGATTTACCATTGCCAGTTCCTACTATCATTAAACTTATTAAACTTTGCATTGTTGATGCAAAATTTGTATTTAATGATAAGTTTTACACTCAGAAGTTTGGTATGGCAATGGGAAATCCTCTTTCACCCGTTCTTAGTAACCTATAAATGGAATTTTTTGAAACAAGGTTGCTTAACACAATCCTCCCTAATAGAGGTAAATGGTTCAGATATGTCGATGATATTTTGTGTCTTATGCCCAAAAATGTAGATATACACCATTTCCTAGGAAAATTAAATAGCTTAGCCCATTCTATAAACTTTACTGTTGAGTTTGAAGAAAATAACTCATTACCTTTTCTAGATGTTTTAATTATTAAGGGTAATAATGAATTCAAATTTAAAATTTACAAAACCTACAATAACTGTTCCTATGTCCACTATTATTCCTCGCATCAAGATAGAGTCAAACTGTCTTTTTTCATCAATGTTTTTGAGAGCTTTACAAATTTGTAGTCCTGAGTTCATAGATGAGGAAATATCCAAAATCTATGAAATAGGTAATTATTTAAAATACCCAAGAAATGTAATTGATAAATCTTTTAAAGTTGCTAGAAATACTTTTTACAATCCAAAAAGGGACAACCAGCCTTATTCAACTAAAAATATGTTGGTTCTCCCTTACCATGAAAACTTGGTTGATATGCCTTCTCTTCTTAAGACTTTTAATATTAAAGTTGTATTCAAAAATCTTGATACAGTAAAAAAAACTTTTGATAAAGAATTCCCCCAAAATGCTGATGGATGTGTCTATAAAGATTCCTTGTAAAATTTGCGATAAAGTTTATTACGGTTCAAACTGGTAAAAATCTCGAACTAAGATTAAAACAACATAAATATAGCATTAGAACTGGACAAGATTCCAATGCTCTATTTATTCATGTAAGAGATTTTAACCATCCAATTGACTTTCAAAAAGTTGAGAAAATAGTATCAAGCAAGTCCATGGTTGACAGGAATATAATTGAATCTTGTTTCATAAAAAGCAGTTTTGACAATAATATGAATATTTCCTTTGGTTTATATAAATTAGATCCATTTATAATTAATAGAATTTGGGAAGAATTTAATAATACACTGGACAAATAATAATTTTTAAATTTTCTTGGGTAGAATAGTTTGTGGGTGACTTGTGCAAAGGACCTATCCAAGTTGGGCCGGCGCCCGTCAGGTGTTTAACCGTTGTGGGATCTGATAGTGAGGTGTTGGCCAGACCCCTTATATAGCTTCCTTGGATGCTTTACTTTCATAGTTCCTTGATAATGTGAGTAGTCACGAAAGCGCTTGGAATTTCTCTATTCTTTCAGAGTGGTTGTTTTGCATATATATATTTATATATATATATATATATTATATATATATATATATATATATATATATATATATATATTATATATATAATATTATATATATATATTATATAATATATATATATATTTGAGAATTGAATTCTTAGCTGATGGAGCTATTTGCTTGAATTATTGTAAAAACTAGAAATAGCTCTTAAAGCTAGCCTTAGTTAGATAGAAATATAATTTTTATTACAAGATTCTTTTGTTAAATTTTGGTGGTATAAGATAATTTGATATATCGTCAGGCTGGGTTACGTTAGGATAGTTTTGGTTAGGTTAGGTTAGGTTAGGTTTAGGTTAGGTTAGGTTAGGTTAGGTTAGGTTAGGTTAGGTTAGGTTAGGTTAGGTTAGGTTAGGTTACGTTAGGATAGTTTTGGTTAGGTTAGGTTAGGTTAGGTTAGGTTAGGTTAGGTTAGGTTAGGTTAGGTTAGGTTAGGTTAGGTTAGGTTAGGTTACGTTTAGGATAGTTTTGGTTTAGGTTAGGTTTAGGTTAGGTTAGGTTAGGTTAGGTTAGGTTAGGTTAGGTTAGGTTAGGTTAGGTTAGGTTAGGTTACATTTGTGAAGAGTTGATTTCATTAGGTTAAGATTGATTAGGTTATGTGTTACATCAGTGTTTTAGGTTTAAAGTCTATCTACTACACGAGGGTCATTAAGGTTGGTTGGTTAATGGAGTTTAAAGTCTATCTACTACACGAGGGTCATTAAGGTTGGTTGGTTAATGGAGTTTAAAGTCTATCTACTACACGAGGGTCATTAAGGTTGGTTGGTTAATGGAGTTTAAAGTCTATCTACTACACGAGGGTCATTAAGGTTGGTTGGTTAATGGGGTTTAAAGTCTATCTACTACACGAGGGTCATTAAGGTTGGTTGGTTAATGGGGTTTAAAGTCTATCTACTACACGAGGGTCATTAAGGTTGGTTGGTTAATGGGGTTTAAAGTCTATCTACTACACGAGGGTCATTAAGGTTGGTTGGTTAATGGAGTTTAAAGTCTATCACAACACGAGGGTCATTAAGGTTGGTTGGTTAATGGGTTTAAAGTCTATCTACTACACGAGGGTCATTAAGGTTGGTTGGTTAATGGGGTTTAAAGTCTATCTACTACACGAGGGTCATTAAGGCTGCAGGTCACCTTTACACCACCAGTCAAGAATACTTTAATACCTAAATTACTGATTAATGTAAACTACCAGTGTATATACACTGAGATATACACCTCTCAGTGTATATATATATATATATATATATATATTATATAGAGAAATATATCTCTTACTGTATATACACAGAGATACTTCTCAGTGCAAATACTAAAAGATACATATATCTTAGTGTATATACATAGATACAAGCGTCTGTGCAGACCTGACGTTCTCATAATGCAGATCAAAGAGAACTTAGTCAACCTTACCGTTCTCATAACCCGGATAGAATGAGACTTCCTCCATCTTGGAATTAGTGACATCCTTGTGAGAGGCCAAAAAAAGAACGACTTCCCGTTTCTCATTCTTAATGGGAACGATGTCGAGGAGACACCAGAATGATGATCCTGCAAATCAAAGCAAAAAAAAAAAATATATGTAATATATTATTTCGATAATATTTATATTAATGCTATGATGGCACTCTTCAGGTCACTTGTTCTATCTAGGCTGGAATATTGCTGCACTCTAACAGCACCTTTCAAGGCAGGTGAAATTGCCGACCTAGAAAATGTACAGAGAACCTTCACGGCGCGCATAACGGAGATAAAACACCTCAATTACTGGGAGCGCTTGAGGTTCCTGAACCTGTATTCCCTGGAACGCAGGCGGGAGAGATACATGATTATATACACCTGGAAAATCCTAGAGGGACTAGTACCGAACTTGCACACGAAAATCACTCACTACGAAAGCAAAAGACTTGGCAGACGATGCAACATCCCCCCAATGAAAAGCAGGGGTGTCACTAGCACGTTAAGAGACCATACAATAAGTGTCAGGGGCCCGAGACTGTTCAACTGCCTTCCAGCACACATAAGGGGGATTACCAACAGACCCCTGGCAGTCTTCAAGCTGGCACTGGACAAGCACCTAAAGTCAGTTCCGGATCAGCCGGGCTGTGGCTCGTACGTTGGTTTGCGTGCAGCCAGCAGCAACAGCCTGGTTGATCAGGCTCTGATCCACCAGGAGGCCTGGTCACAGACCGGGCCGCGGGGGCGTTGACCCCCGGAACTCTCTCCAGGTAAACTCCAGGTATATTAATATCGATATTACAGTGGCTCCCTAGTATATTGATGATAAAGGCTAAAGTGTCATTTGAAAACAGGTGAATTTGTAAATGAAGTGATAAGCCTATAGAGGAAGGTGCCAGAAGTCGCCAGAAACTTACCACAGGTCAGCTGTTTTTAATAATCTTCCTGGCTTGCTAGTGTACTCGCATATAATCTAGTGATACCAGTGAATAGTAGGATACAGTGTTGTAGTAGCAACTAACCAGTATTATAATGGTACTTAGTGGAGTGGAGTGACTTTCATTAGTTTCTTTTCTTGAAATACGAGACGTTACTGTGAATTTCATATAACCTGTAGTTACAAGCGGTCGCAATATACACAACGAGAAGCAATTATTACTACAGAAAAAGCGTCCTTCCTCCAAAATTTGCACCAGTCAACTATAGTGATAATATAGCATTTATTGTGGTGGAGACGGAAAAAAAAAAAAAAAAAAAAAAAAAAAAAAATAGAAAAGCCAGATACAGCGATTGATAAACAAGGAGGTGACCGTTCGTCATTGTAGGAGCTGCCAGATATCACCGGCTCTTCAACACGCAAGTTATACTTTTGTATCAGTCAAATCACATATTACTCGGGTAGATAATTTCCAGTAGATCCTTCATGTGTTAGCTCAAATCACCAACCAGTATGTTTTAAATAAGTGACCCACTGATCAGAGCAGATCGACTGGTCCGGACCCTTGACTGGTCCGAACCCTTCACTGGTCCGAACCCGGGACTGGTTTCAAACAGTTTCGTTGGACAATAAAGCAGACTGTAAACGGATGGGGTTGTAGGCGCCCTTATAAACACAAACATTAAAAATCTGAAATGCGCAGGGAGACACTGGTCAGAGAAATAGCAAGCATCGAACTTAAGCTAAAAGAATCCTTTAGGAGTCAGGAATCGGGGGAAGAACTAAAAGCTATAAATGAAATCGAAAGAAACCCAAAGTATTTCTTCTCCTATGCCAAATCAAAATCGAGAACAACGCCCAGTATTGGGCCCCTACTTAAACAAGATGGGTCCTACACAGAT